GGGTCAAAATTGTAAAAATAGAAACCAGAAAACTAGGAGAACATAATTATATTGTCAGCAAAATCATAAGTGATGGAAAATAATTAAAACTATCTAGTCAGAAGTCCTGAAACTCTGGGGAAAGAGCAGACGGAGAAGGAATATCTCTTTCTTTTAGCAAACAGGAATGATGTACTAGAGAGGCCTCCCAGGTTTGCAGACACCCCTAATTCCATCCAGCTGACATTTCTCCACTATGAGAGATGACTGGCCTCGGTTAACAGTTTTATGTGCACAGCTGAAGAAACTCCCCGGTCTACAGGTCAGGAAGATTTGACAAAACATGTGGCTGCACAAGATTATTCGTTCTCACTTCTGCTCCATCTTTTACAGTCACAGTTCTAAAATAAACGAGAAGCAATCTGAGAAATATGTTTTATAATCCGTAGTGGCCCGAGAAGTTAGATTAAAGCTTAAGTAAAGATGACTTCAATTTTTTTAAGATGCAAAGAGAAACAGTTCATACTTTCCTAAAGATAATGATGTCATAGAAGACTTCATTTACTGTATCACATGCTGTGCTGCCCTACGGACATGAATGATCTTACATTACATCCATTTTAAACCCTTTAAGTGTTACCAGTTAAACTTGGAGTGAAATTCATCACCACTAACAGATTCACATTCATCCTGTGGTTTATTGATCTGAACATGAGCCAGATGTCAATAATCAGAATCAATGACTCCAGTGAGCAGAGGGCATGAGCTGTACTACCAGCATCATGACCACGCAGGCCTCACAGAGATGTGTTATGCTGAAAGAACAAGTGTTTGTCACTAAACACTCGTTTGTGAAAATGTTAAAGGTTCTAGATCTGTCACTGTTCCATGCACAGAAAAATCTCTGCCCCTGCTTTGTGGAAGCACGTACATTGTTGTAGCAATTCTTAGAGGACACACAACAAACTGCCATCTTTGCTAATTAATACAGTTTTAGGTGTCATGAAAAAATGCCACCCCGGGCAACTGCCCTGTCTGCCCGTGCCTAAAACCGCTACTGGCTGCAGCTCAGCTATCATTAGCAGTAGCTCAGGTTAGCTCAAGCCGGTGTTGTTCTGAGATTAGCATTAATGCTACATTAACATTCACACACTGCAGAAACTGAAGTAGGTTGTTAAGTGCAGATTTCGATGATCCGCACTTGTATAGCGCCTCTCAGAGTAAGGACTCCAAAGCGCTTTACACTATCATTCATCCATTCACACACACACACACATTCACACACTGATGGTGATGAGCTACGATGTAGCCACAGCTGCCCTGGGGCGTACTGACAGAGGCGAGGCTGCCGAGCACAGGCGCCACCAATTTACCTTCGACCACCACCAGCAGGCAAGGTGGGTTAAGTGTCTTGCCCAAGTACACAACAGTAGAATTCTCTGTCCGGAGCAGGGATCGAACCTGCAACCTTCGGATTACTGGACAACCCGCTCCACCTGTTGAGCTACTTCTGCCCCTGTTTTAAGGTGTTGTGTATGAGATTATGACGTGTTAAACCAGCTTTTCTTAGAACCAACCCTTTCTCCATCGCCATTAAAACATTAAATTGCGTATGAAAGCAGGTCAGAGACGGTACATCCAGTGCATATGTGTGTCAGCTGCTCTGAGACGGTACGTCCGACACCCCAAGCTGCCTCTTCCTAACAACAAGAACAAGTTAAATGTGGTTTTAAATTCCAAGACTGATTTAAAGGTTTCTTTTTCCGTTTGACTAAACTTCAGCACAGCGGGTAAATGACCGGCTATGAGCATTCTTAGCTGGCGATGTGGTAGGAAACACTTATGCAAAGAAAGGATTACGTGTCATTAAAGGAGTGAGTCAGCACATGCAGCCATCACACTCTAACAAACTGTTCAGCTTCATGGTGGAACGCTGCAGGAACGCTGCTGCCGTCATCAGAGAGGAGTCATTACAATCCAAAACACCTTGTTACTTCTAAACAAACGTATCATCATTCAAAGTTAGATTTGAATCGGACCCTTTGCAAAATCAACCCTTTACATGGCTTTAAAGTGTCTATTTTATTTATTTATTTAACCTTCATGAGAAAGATTCTGCTGAAAAGCCCAAATTCATGAAATCCTTGTACCAAAAGGAAACTTTTCCATGATCTCCAGCTTCTTTTTGCTACGTTTTTTTTTTTATTATTAATATTTTGTTTTTAGAAATTTGACTCAAGAAAAAGTCATCCGATAAGTCTAAACAAAACACACAAAATGTATCAAGAATCAGCCGCGTGCCGCACTCAGCCGGCAAGGCCGATGATGTCATGCTTCACAGTCCACTGGAAAGCACAAGCTACTGGATAAACAGTCAGCGTTAGGGTAAACCTATTTCAAGTGTCCATTAACAGGATTGATTACTGGAAAGTAACTGGAATGTAATCAGAAATCAGTCTCTCCTACTGCTGTTGTGCAGCAGAGGCAGAGAATCAGTCAAAACTGAAACTGTGCTACAAAATGTGTTGATTGGTTTGAAATCCAGTTTGGTTTAATTATTTTCTTTCAATTACAGTTCCTTTGTTTTGTTTACTGTCTCCCAAAGAAATATAAATTGAGAAAGCCCCTGGCAGTGTGCCAGCCGATGGCTTCCTCCAGAAGGCTATGACAGCTCAGCAGAGCACCAGTGTAGCTTCTTCTGGGGAGAAAAATACATAGATAAGCTCAACAACGGGGAAAAAATAAAACAGGAAATAATACAATTTGAGAGTAGTGGTAGAAGGAAGTAGCAGATTGTGGAAAGTGGTCAGTATGTCCTCATGCAGTCTAAGCCTATAGCAGCACGACTAACTCAGGATAACCTAGCCTTTTAGATGGAGGCATATGGGAGGCAGGGTCAGGGAGAGCCATCTCTACCGACTGTATTCCCCGCTGTGCAGTTGATGCCAAAGCTGTTTCAAACGAGCCACCGCCATCTTAGTTTGGCTTAGTCGCATCAATGGGACAGCAGTAGCTAAGGAGGTAGAGCGGGTTGTCCAGTAAACGGAAGATTGCAGGTTTGATCCCGAATGTTGGGTATTTTATAATTGTACCTTTTGGAGGCCTAAAAGCTGCCCAATTTGTGTTATTAACACTTCATGAATCTCTGTGTTTGCCAACTGTGACTGTTCATGAAAGGTTGAGCAGAGAAGCTTGTTTGTAGTCAAGGATGTTGATTCCAACCAAACCTCTGTACCTCTGTAACCTGAGAAGGCCCCGCCTTCTCCATCCTTTGCTAAATAAAACCCCTGGCAAACTGAGAACACATGGGAGTTACGTGGGGTTAGCCTCGGAGGAGGTTCCTCTGCGTTAACTCTCCATTATTTGGGGGACTCAGGGTAAAATGACTTCCTTGTTGTCATGAGTGTTATTTCAGGTTCCAGGGTTATTACCCCACATTTAATTACCTAACATTTTGGTGGAGAATGCGGGCATGCAGAGCTGGTGAGCAGAAGGCTTTCCCCAGGAGCAGAGGGGGCCGGGTTAGCTCCATGGAGGGGGTTTCTGCGCCCAGCTCTCGCATGACGATTCATGGACATTACGAATAATCAATCTACTCTCTCTCTGTGTTTGTCGTCCTTTAAGGTAATATGGGATAAAATTAATTACCTATCACCGAATCAGACCAGAGAAGGCTGCTGTTGTGTCCTTGGGCAAGACACTCACCCCGCCTTGCCTGCTGGTGGTGGTCGGAGGGACCGGTGGCGCCTGTGTTTGTCGGGCCTCACCTCTGTCAGCGTGCCCCGGGGCAGCTGTGGCTACATTATACCTCATCCCCACCAGCGTGTGAATGAGTGAATGACTGAATGTGTTGTGAAGCACCTTGGGGGTTTGCAGAAACCCAAGAATGCCCACCAAACCAATGTAGTTAGCAAGACCCAAAACTGTTCGGGCCAACGATAGGCCTGCTGAGGCCACAATAGAGCGTGGCTAGACTGACCTGCAGAGCACAATCCTTTTGTTTCTGCTGCTGTCTGTCTACATTTCTAGGCTACAGAAGTGCTGCATATATCTAAGTAGAAGATTATACACACACATAAAATAGATAATAACATTTTTATGTATAATTTGTCAAACAAGCAGACAATCTAAATCACATCAAATGTCCGTTTTAAAATGACTTCTGTTAACAAACACGTAGATTTATTTTATACTTCTGTCTCAACCCCAAAAGCTCCATACAAGCATCTGAATCTGCCTCCATAGTTGCTCCCATGAAATATCTAATCCTCTCACATCCTGTTTATGTCAGACTGACATCCATCTGCAGCCGAATGGGGCTGCTAATGCCAAAACCATGGTGAGGAAAACACAAACTTCTCAGAAAGAGGGAGCCTCGATGGAAAGCTCTGTGATACGGGAAGCTTGAACGCTGGATGTCATCGCTCTAAACCAGATGTGCAGACCAATCAGCATACGGCTTCTCGAGATGCTCAAAACACAACTGTGAGCTACACACACAAAACGTGTTTTTGTCAGATATTGTGCTTATAATGTATATTTGCTAAACACTTATTGCTCAGTTGGTTGATAACACAAGTTGCAAAACCTTCCAATCCCATTGCAGAAGCTTGTTGCATTTGGCCATGCAGGCATGGTGGAGACCAGCTGCTAAGCACAAACCAAGCATCAGAATAAAGAAGAGCGGAGGTTTAGTGACTAAGAACGTTGAATGTTTGTTGATGCCAGGCAGGCTGGTCTGAATAGTTCAGAAGCTACTGTTCTACTGGGGTTTGAACCCACAACCACCTCTAGGGTTCACAGAAAATAATCCACAAAAGAAGATAAAAGAGCAGCTGTTTTGCAGATAAAAATCCCTTATTGAGATCAGAAGATAATGGCCAGACTGGTTCCAGATGGCAGAAAGACACAGGAGCTAGAATGACTGATTCCTAAACAGATTTAAAAGCCACAACGTCCACACACACCATTATAACTGGAAATTAAATAAAGAAATAGGAAACTGTAAATGTTGCACTTACAAGTCTTTTACCCCAAACATGCTGCAACACAAGCACCAGGGATAAAACTAAGTCCTGTAGATGAAGCTGATGTCCACAAAAATCCACTTGTCCCTGAACACCACGCCAGATCTCTAATCACAACATGAGACATGTAATCCAGCTGGGTCGTCAAAGGGCTGCTTTAGAGAAAATATCTGTTCATTTACAGCTAATAAATCTGGAGAAAAGTGTTCTATCTGTGCACTCGGTGGTCCACAGTAGATGATATGTGCATGGGTCAACCGGCCTCCCTGCAGGAAGTGTGCAAAACGAAGAAGCCAGAATCAATACTACTAATAAGCCATCAACAGAACAAAAGAGGTCAACGCCTCCAGACAGCAGGAGATTAGAGCTGGCATCCTCGTCTGGTGCTGGGCTCTGCTGAAGTTATACTGGGATGTGCTGGCCTCACAAGAACATATCTGCAGCCCAGCAATCACATTTTGGTCCATTTGAAAGTTGTTTTTTTTTATATGATGAACAAATACATGTTCCTATAAGCTTGTTTACATTTAATCTAAAATAATGTAATGATTTACGTCTGCAAATCCACAAAAGAAACAAGATTTAGTTTAAAGCAAAACATTTTTATGTTTACATTATTTTCATAATAACAGTGATGTGTATTTTAATAAAATCAACCCAATCTCATAACTATTTATTTTCCCTCAGTTTGAACAATCTTTTAATCATAAGATTTGTACTTTTACTAATTGTACTGCATTAATTTAATCCCATATAATTTTATGGTTACCGCAGCAGCCGGGAGATGTTCAGCAGGTTTATCAGTATATCTCTGCTAAAATAACTAAGTAATGGGACAGTTGTGGTGTTTAAAAGTTAGTTAAACTAAGGGATCAAACACTATGAAATATTTGGACAGGAGTTGTTTCAGGATTCCGTTATTAGCCCCAGAGGTGCTGCACGCTGATAGGCAGGGCAGGCAATTGCTTTGGGGCCCCCTGGCCATAAGGTGCCCCCAGAGGGCTGGCAAACTTTGAAAGCAGAACTGCAGCAGTAGTGGCCCTTCTGGCCACACACTTCCTTGTCTGAACACCCCTCTTCTTTGATTGTAGTTTAGATATGCTAAACATTCTTTTTGAATTCTTGCCAGATAAATCAATGTGGCTACTTATACTGAGCCAGGATCCTCTGGAGGTTTCTTCCTGTTAAAAGGGAGTTTTCCTCTCCACTGTCGCTAAATGCTTGCTTAGTATGAGGATTGCATCAAGTCACTGACACCAGTCAAGCAATTTGCTGGGTTCCTTACATAGGAAGCTTTTGTCCGATTGGCTTAATGAACTGACCTGTACTGGAATGTTTACTGTGTGAAGTTCCTTGAGGCGACTCTTGTCATGATTTGGCGCTATATAAATAAACTTGAATTGAAAAAATTTGAAAAGTCAACATCACTCTCTCACGCCTTATTTTCATCATGGGGAGCAGGTGTCTACCTCCAGCAGTCATCAGGTGAGAGGCAGGCGATTCCCTGGACCTCCCATTAATCTAAGGGAAACACAAAGACAAACAACCAATCACACACACAAACACACACACACACAAACACACACACACACACACACACACACACACACACACACACACACACACACACACACACACACACACACACACACACACACACACACACACACACAAACACACACACACACACACACACACACACACACACACACACACACACATGCGTAGGGACAATTCAGAGATAGATCACCAACCTGAGAGCTACTGTATAAGTATTAAGCCATACAAAGGGTTTCCAGTTTGTTACTGGCACAATTCTGACCTTCTAATGGATCAGAGTTAATTTACCCTCATAAAAACCTTTTTTATTGTTTTCTAAGCATTTTTCTTTCTAACCTTGTCATCTTCAAATCTATATCAATGTGATTTTGATTAAAGAAAAACTGCACCAGAAAAAAGATTCAACTTTAGATGCATGGGCTTCTGTGGGGTACCCAGGCAGATAGGTTGGGGGACGGGGTGGGGGTGGGGGGGGGTGGGATCTGTACCCCCCAGATTCAGATCGAACCCGTTCCGTGACCCCAACTAAGGCCAGAAAGAAAACAAAATCGGAGGTTAAGCGCTTGAAGCTCCTTTTTCCAAATACATTGAATGCAGCATGACGTAAACAAACACCGACTCCAGAGGCGCAAAAGTGGTTGCTGCTAGGATGCAGGATGAAGCGAAAAAGGCAAGCAACGATTACTGCGTAGTTAGAAAAGACCAACAGTGTAAGTAGGCGGGACCGAATTTCTAAATAACGTAAAAATACGAAGGAACATCTTGGTAAGGCTGAAAAGTTTGGGAACGACTGCTCTAAGTGATAAATGAATATCGTTTTTTAAATATATTTTATGTGCAGTTTTTTTAGGGCTTTTATGTTTTCTGTAAAGATTGGTATGCTGAAAATCATTTAATGTTTTGCATAAAGCATGAGGTTTTGGTTAGTAATTGATTGGGAGAATAAATGACTGATTTGGATAGTGCTGATCAGGCAGAAATTTGTTGCCAGCGTTCCATTGCATAATGGTTTCAAACCCGCATATAAAAGTGTCCGTTTTTTCGTAAACCATTGGATGAAATTACACAAACTGACTGAGCTCTAGTTAAGGCGCTTGCAATAGTTTGTGTATGTGTACGTGCGTGTGTGTGAATGTATTTGGGGGAGGGTTAATTGGAACTTTGTCCCCCCAGTTTGAAAATCCTATCTGCGCCCCTGTACCCAGGTGCCTGCGGGCACCACATTGATGACCCTAATTTTGAGTCTCCAGCATAATAAGACTGTTTTGTCTGTGGGAGGAAGCCAGAGAAGCCAGATAAACCCCACACATGTAGAGCACACAGAAAGGCCACAGCTGGGATTCAAACCAGTGATCTTCTCAACAGTACTGCCAACTGCGCCACCATGCAGCCCAAAAACAAAGATATGTATTTAAAAAACGATGTTCCTCTATCGGAGGATGGCTGATATGATCCAGTAGCATGTGTTTAGAACCACCAGCATGTTTGTAAAAAGTTATGATCTGTTTCATTTAGAATGTTTAACATCTCACTCTAACGGTGCCTAGAGTAAGTTCATGAAACTCGGTTTTCCAGCTTGTTCACAGAAAGCTACGGTGAGAAGGTCAGCATTAGTCAGATTACCATTGATTTTGATGTGTTGGGACATCTGTGGCAACCCAATATTGTTATAAATATAAAACATGTAGCGTTATGAATATGCCATTTCTGCCCTTAACAGCTGCCCTTTGACACAGTGACAGTGTGCATAAATTACCAAGGTCGTGTGCTTGCTTCTGATCTTTACATTCCAGCAAAGAAGACAGAAGAAGGACGAAGAACGCTTTTCATTAGTTAATCAAAGAACTTTATTTCTAATAAAGCTAATCAAAACAACTGTTCGTCAATAATAATCAGGTGACTGATCTGTGTAATCACAATGTTATGATTTATGTGTTTAATGAATAACAGGACTCGGGCTAACTGAGCTAGACATCCTGATCCACATAAGGTAAACACATGACACATTGTTCACTCATCCAATCAGAACTTCCGTTCTGTTGCGTGGCAGAGTCCTGTGGTGTTTACTTAATCTGTCCACTCCGATTCGCTAAGAATCAAAAACAACTAAGCTTAATAAAACAGAACAACGCCATTTTAAGTTAGTTCCAACGGAGTTCAACTTGGTTCAACGCAGTTCCAACCAAGTACTCGACCAGCTCTCAAATCCATCTGATGTCCATCATCGCTAAGTGAAGTACAGACTGGCCAGCTGTATTTTCTATTTTTAAGCTGAGAACTGTCAAGCTGGAAAATTCTGTCGTTTTATCAACAACATGACAGTTCCTTCAGAATAAAAGCTGAACTGTCTCTACGTGACGCTGAACCCTGCCGTTGTACCGAGAGACGATCCACAGACTGGTTTGTCGTGCTGCCGACGCTGTTTCACCTGGTCCAGCACCAAGGAGAGTCCGAGGACCTGGCATCCGGATCTAACACGGAAGTCTCTGCACGGTAGGTAGATCTGCATAGATCGCGTCTCATGTCTTCCTCCTGAAGTCCATCTTCGGTCAGTTAGGGCAAACAACATCTCGCACTCAGACTCGCCTCCACCAGATGGAGATTCTGAACTGACACACACTGACACACACACACCAACACTTCAGCATTACATTCATCTGCATCCATCATTAGAGAGTTAGTCCTGGTGATTGTTTCAAATAATTATAAAATAAATATTCTTAAACGTCCCATCTCTCTCTCTCTTCTTGTCTCTAATTCAATTCAAAGTGTTTGAATAAAACTTCCTGTAGTAAAAACAACCTCTTTTGATTCTAAGGGCCCGGTTCAAAGATTAATGATCCAGCTCAGGTTTGGATCAGTGATATCTCTGGACCTTAATAAAAGTGTAAGAATATACCAACTATATTCCGCTACAAACATTTGTCTCGATTCTTAACTGTTCTTAACAAAAATGTACTGGAAGCCTTCAGGGAACTCATATTCTGTCAGGAGTTTTGCAAACTGACTAATTCAATGTGAACTTTACATTTTCATTTAGTAAACGGACACCTTTTGATATTTGAATTTCACTCAAACGTATGTAATCATTATGTAAATCTGCATAAAACACAACATACTTGTGCATTTTTATAATAAAGGTGCATTTGTGCACTGAAATGGTTCATCTTTGATAAAAGTCAGTTTTCCAGAGCGAACTTTAAGTTTCTTGTGTTAAAAAACGCAGATAAGCTGGATAATAAAAATGACTTTTAAAAGTGACCCAAAAACAGATCTGACAGGATTTCTGACACACAAGTAGTTCAGGAAGTGTGTCTGTGTTCTGCTTTAATTATATATTGATGAAACCCTGAGGTCTGACCTCATTTTAAACCTAATAGACATTTTGTCAGCCAATGTGGGACCTGATGTAAAATTGCCCAAAGGACACTTCACATTTTCCTCCATGAGGAAGTGATTTATCCTCAGTCAGATCGTTTTGTTCCAACGTATTTTGTGTTATTGGTAAATCAGTGTAACGTGATGACGGAGCTATTCCACCAAAGGTTATTTACCCTCTCTCCTCAGGAAGAACTAATCTGCATGAGACTGCCTCAAGGTCATGCATTTGCTTCTGAAACAGTTTCCTTTCCAGCTCAAGAGAAGAATGAAGACAAAGAATTCTTTCTTTT